AATACTGAACTGAGGACTTTCCATAAAAGACGGTTTTGACTTTGAGTTAGAGCTTCGCCCCAGCCTACTGACATAGACCTTTAGGGAGTATGATTAATGATCAATTTCTTAGGTCATCATGGTAACAAAAAAATACCAGATATATTTTGTTATATTTATATCAACACTGTTGACATTTTTATAGTTGTTAATTCATTCTGAGAGATAATTCAATAAAATTTTGCAAAAGTAATGTTTTGCATATTTAGTGGTCAAAGTGAAATACTAACCAATTATATTGCAAATGTACAATCTTAATTTGTCACTTTAGAAATTGTAGCAAATTAATCATTTCAATTACTAAGAATTTACAAAATATTTTGGTGAGGTCTTCGAGATAAGATTGTAGGCCTAAATCTGAATCCAACTATCTTTGATCATTGGTCTTTAAATAAATGATCCTGACTAAAGAGAAAGCTGATCTTAGTCAGTAACAAAGATACACAGATTTTTTCTTCATTGGAGTTTGTTCCGAGAACAGCTGGTAAGATCTTTAGAGTATTGATTCAAATATTTAGTACAAACGTTTAGGATAAAAAAAAATTAGAATAGAAATCATTTAGTTGGAAAATGCATAACTTGTACCTTAAGTTGCTGAACAGCTTAAATGTGGTACTGAAGCTGCGGGCGAAATGATAATGTCACCTAATGGATAACCTAGTGCTTTTTCAGTATATCCATAACCGATGATTACTAAATAGATATTAGTCTTGCTCTACCTACACAGATTCAACCTTTTCAGGAAAGTTCAAACTTAGAAACACACACTTAGTGGATCTACTTTTGGATACATTTACATCAGCTTACATTTTACACATTGTATTTGCAATTAGTCATGTAGTATTTACCATCCTGTTACCTGACTAGGAGTATTGTTTTGTTTTGCAGGTCATGTGCAATGATAATATAGTAATAATTGTGGTTGCAAGAGGAACCGACATTATTATGACTTTCAAAACGCGTGTTTTAGTTTTGAAAATCATAATGAACCTAAAAATAGATTAAACTATATTTACTTGTACACGCATTTTAATAAAGTCAAAGATTTGTCTGAAAATTTTGGAAAAATCATGATATGAAAATTAATATGATATGCATGTTTGTTAGGCATATTATTTAAATGTCACTACTAACTTACAATATTTAAACGTGTCTATTGTAGATCTATTCAAATAAAGAGTATAATTTACATACATCATTCATGTTTCTATAAACAATTTAATTTGCAGTCATAACATTCATTTTCATAACCTGTTTGACTCTATTATACCATATGACCGTTGTTAAACAACTAAGGGCTGGCGCGCACTGTACTGGAGGTAACTAACTGATATAATTGAATCCCATTTCAAGAAAATCAGCAACAGTGGACCTTTGAAAGCACTCTCCAAAGGCTAGGGGGTGGAGGGCTAAAAGTAATTGTCTTTTTAACTAGCATGCGTAACTCTGCCGAATCGTAAGCTTTAAAATGACGCCTCAATCGTATAAATCAGTAGGACGGTTGATAAAGGGAGGTTACATTACTGTATTAAAATGTTAACTGAAACAAGGGTTATTTGGATACTGAATAGTTCATGTCTCATCCCTTAATACATTTCACGTGCGGACCAATAACTTTGCAATTAACTGAACGTATTTCAACATACAGCTATTTAAACAAATATTTTGTATCTTCAACTTCAACACAATAAAAATTGCATTGCTCAAATTCATGATTTCAAAATAACTTATAAATAATCATTGAAATAAAGTGTTTCACCATATAGCCCAACGTATAAAGCACTTAGTTCATACCAAGCCATGACACCTCCATTACTAGTAGTTGTCTTTTTAGTTCAAAGGACCGACAGCAGACACTCCACATAACCTCTAAAGCCACCTCATTTAGTGTGTGACGCCATTACTTGATAATTAATTGCACCATTACACTGAAGTAATCCTTTAATTCAGTTAGGGATTAGAATAATTGTTACAAAGACCGAACACAAACATCTGTTAAGCTTTATTGGATTCATTATAAATTTGTTTTCATATATTGTGGTAAAAAGATAAAAATATGTTTTAATATTACTGCTCCAGTTTCATTACTTTACTTTAAATTTAAAGAGAGTTATTTTTTTTTTCAAAAAGTATATAAGACAATACAGACACGACTTAAAGGAGCAGTATTCACTTTGAGTACTGAAATCTATCGACTGTACGTTTCAATTATAAACAATTGGTAATTTGCTTACTGGATTATTTAGAGGTTAGTGGTTGTTTTAACCATGCGTATATAAATCTGTATTTAACCTGTGTGTGTAACATCTAGTAAAGCGAGGGGTGAGCCGGTATAGTAACAGGTACCAGAAACCGAACCCACGACATCGCTGCCTTGGGCTTGAAGTCCGTGGCGCTACAGACTGGCGCCGACTCACCTAATTGCTAAATGAGAGAATGTAGAACTTTACCTAGCCGTTAGTTTTAAAATTTTGAGATATACATTTTCAAAATACATCAATCTACAATGTAAAGTTGTGTACAATGTATATGTGTACAATTTACGGAGAATATTTTCCAACCGGTAACTTGGAGGTTAAAAATAGCTTCTTTACAGTTGAGTTTAAAATAATCTAAGTTATTCAGCCTTTTTAATTTCCCTTGGTGGATTAAAAATTATAATTAGGGAGTTATCTTAATCTGTTTACCGCTGACGCTCTTTAAAATGTGAGGGCCTTCGTAATCAGGTGCTGCAAAGCATAGATTTTACTTTAATTTATTTTGATCTACTTTTAGGCTGATAAATCCTAAGAGCATTATGTTTTTTGTGGTGTAAATAATACAAGCTCCTCGCCAAAATGCTAAGGGATTCTAAAACTATTTAAAGCTAATTTATTTAATTCTATCATATTATTTTTTATTATTTGACATCAAGCGTTTGGTAACGATTACCCTCCGCTAGACCTACTAAGTTTCGTCTGCCAAATGGCGAGTGATCAGTTTTTTCATCTTATAAGCTAAAAATCTTAATCTTTATATACTAAGAGGGGACATTTATGCGAATTGTGAATTTTAACATGTTTCCTGTGCAAAACGAAACGAAAATATAAAAAAAAAATGGTTGTTTCTGAGGCAAAACAAATAATGCAATAATCTTTACCCTTTCAAAATCATGTTTGGAGTTATTAGTTGAATAAAACCACTAATTTACAATAAATTAAATTGTTGACCGTAGATTTTTATAACATATAGAGTGATTTTACTATCTCAATCAGGTTTAAATTATCACTAAAGAATACCAGTCTATTTAAAATCGATTTTCATAACTGTTTCATCTCTTGTTTACTATCTGACTGTGGGTAAACATTCTACTGAAGGTTCAGATTTTATTAAATTACAATTTAGATTTAAATCCGTTATAAAGAAAGTGGATCATCATCACTGAATCTTTGAAAGTAAACTCTAGAAATAAATCAAACTCTAGAAATAAATCAAACTAGAAATTATCTTTTTAATCACCATTCCTTCTTCCAAAAATAACACCTAAATCGTAGAAATATGATAAGTAGGATGGGTAGAAAAGTGATTTTACAGGGTAAACCCTTATTGTATGAAGTAAATAGATTTGTTAGTTTTTTAGTTTTATTCCAGAAGTCATCTTTTACAAAGAAATCGCTAACCCATAAGTCACTGGAAGATACTCCAAACAATGGAACTAAACGAATATACAGTATGTTATGCTAGATGAGTTTCTGCATTTTCTCTCTGAACTGCGCATCAACAAAACTTTGAAGGGTTTGGGAATCTAAAGTGAAAACATAACATCCGCTTGCGGGCTGATGACTTCGTTCTATCAAGATTTTCAGAAACACAATCTGAACAAAATTGCAGACTGGTAATTCACCAAACAAAGTTTTTGGGGTTTTTTTTTAATTGTGTTAAGTAATACCCTGTTTCAAACAATTTAGTATCTTTCAGGTGTCTATTGAAATGTTTCAAGAGAGGTTTTTATATTATTTTAATAGGATAATTACATTCAAGTTTATAAATTGAATTTTTTAGCCATGTTTGAATGTTAATCTCATTTAGTAAATTAGTTTCTGTTTGCTAATTAACAGAACAGTATTTTTTTACAAATTGGATTTCAATTAAAAACCACCAAAAATATACTGAAAACGTTAGATGTCATTCTGATTAAATTACATTTCCTTAATTTTTGTAATAAAAAATATTAAATGAATTTCCAACTATTGGACATTTAATTAAGTTACTAATATTTAAAATGTAAATTGTTAGGAAAGTAGCATACACCACACTTTTATAAACAAGTGCTATACAACAATTGAAAAATGTTGATTGTTGCATCACGTTGGCGTTGTATATGAATTTTTCATATAACTTACCAACACAACACAATGCAATACAATAAAATGCAATACAATTCAACGCAGTAAAATACAAACAACAATCCCTTTGCAAAATATGACAGACAAAAAGTTAAACTGAAATGTAAATTTGAGTTTGTTACTATGTTTGAAGAAATTGCTGGCATTAACAAAGGTAAGAAGTTGTTACGACCTAATCATCAAAGTAACGACTTCCACAGCGTAAAATATGACGATACTTCGCGATATTTTGTTACGCTTAGTCTTTTAAAAATATTTTTTTTTTATTGAATGTTGCAACGTATTTGTTGTGTGTGCTTTATGTACCATCGTGTTTAAAATCTGATTCTACAGTCGTGAATCAGATTTTTCTCGATTATTTAGTCTTCAGTCACGTACGTTTTCAACCCAATTATTTTCCTACGGATTTTCTAATAGAGGATTTATGTTTTGGAAACAAATGCTTTTCTTATGTCTGAAACAAGAGATTTTCGATGAAAACAGACAGTTACTTATTCAACATTGTATATTAAAACCACTCACGATTATTTTTACAGTAACATATTACCAAAACACAGTCAAAACACCCCTAAATACCTGGGTTCCAGGTTGAAAGCCAGCCGTGTAGGGTTGATGTGGAAAGCACAGCGCGCGGCGGTGGACTGCCACCTGCCACCCACCCTAAAGATCTCCTACCCTCTCCCCAACCCGAGACCCAACCCTACCACATAGAGAGCTGTGTAATTAATACCTATAACAGGGTTATAACATCATAACTACTCGCTGATTTATTGGATGGAGACAAGCTTTAATGCTTGAATAGACAATGTTAAAACCCTTCCAGCAATCAGGGGTTTATATTTGCATTATGTATGTAACTTTTGGATATGGAAATAGATATTCCGTTGCAATCTTAATGGTAGACTTCCATGGGGAAAATGGACAGTGAAATCTTCGTCATAGGGAGCTGACGGCATCGTTGAATTAGCAAATTGGACCTACGTTTCGGATGCTATCCAACAGGCCATCTGCAGGCCAAGATTCTATTATCTACTTCCTTGTTAAAGTTGTTGTCAGTTTCAGAATGAAAATAGACTTTGTATTCAGCCGACAGAGTGCTTTGGCGTAAACGGGTTTTTATCGAATACGAAAATTTTTTAACTAAGCCAAACTGATATGACTTTTTGAAAACTACAGCCTCTTTTATGTTAAAGGAACACAAAAACCAAAAAGTGAGGGAAATATTCCTGCATAGACTTCCACGGTCACTTAATCTAGAATCGTGGTCTTCTAGAGACCACCGCTTCAAAAACTATGAAATACGTACTACACTCGCCGACGTTGCGGCCTCGATATAGATTGAACTTCAGGGCGACTTGACTCAAAGATGTTCGCCGTTTTTGGCACAGTCGTCGCTAGAAGACCAAGGTTCTAGATTAAGTAAGGGAGATATTTGAACTATATTACTGTAGCATACTTTTTAGCTAAAGATTTTGCTGCAGCTGAGATGTCCTATGTCGATGGGATGCCAACTTAAAAATCGAAAAAGGCAAATGTATAATAGCCTGCATGATCTTATCAATATAATCTTATATTGATTATAACCAGGCATATTACGCCCATGTTTATATGGGGGTTTTGCTTTGTTTTGACCTAAGAAACAAATAAACAAAAGGGTTCCAGAGAGTTTCGGGACAATCTGTATAACATTTTCATTTATGTGTTCATAATGTACACTATTCTGACTAGTTTGATATAGAGTCAAATCAGATTCATATTATTATTTCTATTCGAGATATAACTTTTATTTGATGTAAATACTTATTTCAAATAAAATAGTATTGTATTTTTCGTTATTTGAACCTATTGGCCTACGTAATAAAATTTTTGAAAATAATTCAAATGATTATTTTGCAATCACCTAATTGGTGAGTTGGTGGCTTTTCAGTGATGTCGTGGGTTCGGATCCTTGTATATTTCAATCCGTTATATCACTAATGTACATAGACCACATAGTATTCATATTATATTATGTGCTCTTACTGTACAGTGTACAGTTCACCCTTGTACTGAAGCAGCCTTCCGGACTTAGGTTTGACACACATTCGTTTTCAGCCTTGAGCATCAGGGCTCATAACAAGCATTGGATGTGTTTGGCTGGCTCGTACACGCGCACGCACTCAGGGAGATAAGCAATGCACTTTGAAGTGAAGGTTGTTTTCTAAATCCCTTGAGCAAGTCTTGGGAAGCTGAGTGTTTAAGAAATGGTGTATAATATTGCTTATGATTTGTAAAACATATACTGTAGTTACAAGCTTAATTGGATACACCCAATTTAAAACCATCATAACTGTAAACGTATCTTAGTATTTTTAAATGACCAATTTTAAATGTTTGTGAAAGGACAACTTTTAGCACATGATAAATAATAGGCCTACCTAGTATTAAAATATTAGCCCCTAGAAACAAAATGGGGGATGCTTTCTAGTTTAAAATATTTTATAATGTAAAACTTAATAATTTCAAATCAAAATTAAATAATCAAACAATTGTAAGATAAATTAAAGTGGGAAACCAAACACTAAACTTTCAAATATTTGTCAATTATAACAACGTTTCTGTAATTAAATAGGAAGTGCTTTGCAATGAGTATAAATTAGATTTAATACTTATTTACTACGAGTGTTACGCTACTTAAATATGTCCAAACCAATAGATTAGTAATTGAGATTTAATATTTTGATATTTTTAATTTTCATTATATTTTGTGTTTTCTACTAAAATAATAATATTTCTCCGGCTTGAACCTTAAGATTTACCTTTTACATCCATTAGTTGTTATGCATCTTTACTTACAAAATTTTGTAAATCAATATTTGTTTAAACTTGTACAAGGTTTACTAAGATACTCCGGACAGTGTAGCCCGTTACAACTAAGCTCTGATTAATCTTTGAGACTTGCAGAGGTTCTATCGTTATATTCCCCTCTTGTCCACGTTTGTACAGAATTGTTTCATTATCCGTTGAGAGAAGAGTTTATATCCGTGGTAAATATCAGCTTAAGAGAAACTAAGATATAAAGGTTGGCCTTGGTCAGAATATATTTCTTATTCGTTTAATTAAATCCTGTGCAATAATATGGTAGAAAAACAAATTTTTTGTAAAATTATTTTTCACAATATCATCTTCGGTAAAATGGGACGCGGTTGGTAAAGTGGAAAGAATACGAGTATTTGTTCTAGAAACCAAAGTTTTAATTCGGCTCATTTAACTGTTTTTCAACCGTACTAGAAGGTTTGAAAGCCCTCCTCAATCTACGGGATCCATAAAGGGGGTCGCGTAAGTAAGTACAACGAATTAAGGAATAGGTTTATTGGGTCAAAATAAAACGAAAATCGAGGAATAATTTTTTAAATGTCTTGTTAGCGAGATATCTACCATTTTGTTTATTTCAGTTATAAATTATTATAACCATACAACTTTGCATATATCAAGTCATATTGTATAATGGAAAAATAGCCATTTGGCTATTTTTTACAAAAGATTCAACAGCTACTTTTATTTAGTATTTGAAATTCCCTATCAAATGACACCAGGTCGAAAAAGATCAAATTATAAATAGCTGAGAAATAACAATGTTTAGTTGTACAGGCCAATAGGTTTATGCTATGAACATTTTTATACTCATGTTGTATTAAACTCATGTTAAGGAAATATTTTTCTGTAAACTAACTTTAGATTGTAGACGTTATAGCTTACGTGTTTTACTTGTTACAACATAGAAAACAATTGTTTAACTACAATTGATTATTTACATTGTTTATGCTATTCAACTGCGTTAGTAATCACTCATCTGATCTTTCTTACGGTTTAACTTCAGCTTCACAAAACATTTTGTTTAGATTGCACAGCATATTGTATTTTAACCCAAAGGTTTGACTAAATCTGCAAAGTCTTCTAGCACAGCCGGACTACTCTATTACTTTGTATATATTTAATTTCCTATCAGAACTATGCCAAACAACTTTGCAACTTTAATATTCTTAGTGCATAGACTATTCAAAGAAACGAAAAACAATTTCCGCTGTAGAAAATAAAGATCCTTAGAAATTATTCAATTATTTCAAGCAGTGATTCAAGGTTCTCTGAATTCTTAGGTTTTTGGTTCAATTCTGAAAGGAATTGTTTTGGGAATCAATTCTCATTGAGCTCTTAATAATGATGATTTCCTGCTAATGTTTTATGTTGGATGGTAAAAAACCCGGGTATTAAACCACTCTATTTCGTCGAAACGTAAATAATAATCCTGGAATTATTAGAATATACATTACACAAGTTAAGTAAAACTAATGTTAGGTTAAAACAACAGTTAGGTCCTATTGTAATGATAAAAGTATGCAAATGAGTTGCAAAAGAGGCTAAATTTTATGATGGATCAGTCTCAAGAGAAATTTCAAATGTAAAAGCTGTCAACAATACAAAATGTATATCTCAATTCTACCCTATTATTCATTTATGCATTCTTCTCACTTAGAAAATGTGTCATCTAATCCTATCACAACTAATTATTGTAAGTGTAGGCGTTTTTCTTAACGTACTATTATTAGTAACATACAAACTAACCTGTAAGACAGAATAGTTCATTAAGTATTTTAAATATGTTGTACACAATTATATTCTGAAAATATTTACGTAGTCAGAGCTTGAACATTTCGAACAGCATACTGTCAAATAGCATATAATTTTTTTAATATGATAATTTCAAGAAATTTTCTAATTAAAACCTTATGAATAACTCTTTTATTTTTTTAGTTATGAACCAAAAACCTGTGTGTTTACCCAAATAGGTCCCCATGAGAGACCGAGCTTTAAGAGTTTACTCATACCCAAATATAGTGAGTATTCTTGAGCTTGATATTTACTTGCTGGACTTTGGGACGCCTGAGGCCAAAGTACAAAGCTTCCATTTGAACTCAACTTAAAACTCAATGAAAAGTTTCCTACTGCGTCGCACACGCTAGACGTCCGCTCGGGCTTGATTTGGCGGCTCTTAACCTGACCGCTCAGTCGCTCACACATGTTTTAAATTAACTTCTGTACCGCAAGCCTTGAACCAAGTGATTGCATTTGATGGTAAAATGATTAATTGCATAGTTTGCACTTTTGTTCAAACACTTGATGATATAGGGTAATTAATAAGATGTTTAAGATAGCAGTAGTGTTGGTTCCCCTTGTACATAATTGGAATGTTAATGTCGGGTCTTACTTTGCCCAATTATATGCCAATTTTGGGACAAACAGTACTTTACTATTTAATTTTCCCCTTGTCTAGCCTTTTTAAATATTAAATATTATTTTCTTCTTCAGATATTCATAGGCTATACTACGATTGGTTAAATGGTGAGCAATCAATGATCTTCATAGTAATATACATGACATTTAATTAAATCAAATTCTTCCCTTCTAGGTACATTACTTCTTGTAACTACATTACTTCTAATATAAATAAGAACAGTCTTACTTTAGTCAGTAGACTTGCAAATATAGCACCGGACTGGTACCCCAGGGCTTGGATTCGAGTTGTCAAATTGGTAGCCACAGCACACTTGAAACTCGTTCTGGAAATATGTCCAGAAAATACTAGTAAATGGTAATCATTATTTTAATATTAGAGCATTTTATAATATATTCATACCTTTCACAGCATGTGATTTCCTGACCAAAACAATCATGAATAGTACTGTGACAATTGTTACTTTACATTGTATTTTAACAGTTTCTCAATGTGAAGTTATATAAAATCATCACACAATTATTAATTAAAAAATATTAACATCAATTAGCATAGCTTGAATCATATTTAATTAGTTTTCAATATTTGTGAAACATGTGCTTTTTATACAATCTGTAACAGGAAATTGACTTTGTATTTGTTATGTATCAAGAAATAAGTCCATATGTTTTATTTATAACATCTGTCAGATGACTGTTTACATTATTATGTTTTGTTTACTTTTTAGTTTAGTCTGATTTGTGAGTTCAATAAATTCAGTTGTGTTAATTATGTTTTAATTTTAAACTGGCGACGAGGATAATTGGATAATGGATCTCAATAAGCCTGATCGTTTTGACCCCCATACAAATCCTGCAAGTGTCGCACAGCGTTGGGATACATGGATTAAGCAATTTGAGAGGTATGCTTTAGCTGCAGACATTACCAGTGATGTAAGGAAAACTGCACTAGTACTTAATCTAGCTGGTGAGGAAGTGGCTTACATTTTTGACAGTTTACCACAACCTAATGAAATAACGTACAAAAATGTTATAAAACTATTAACTGACTATTTCGCTCCTACCAAAAATGTCCTTTTTGAAATATTTAATTTTAGGAAGTGTCATCAAGCAGAATCAGAGTCGTTTAACTCTTTCTATTCTCGACTAAGAACATTAGCTGTGAACTGTGAATTCAAAGACTTGGATAGGGAATTAATTATGCAAATTTTGATTGGATCTAGAAGTGATGAGTTAAGGAATAAAATTTTGAAAGAACCTACTATTAAACTTCAGGATGTTGTTATTGCAGCTAAGTCAAATGAATTATTTCAAACTCAAAGTAAGGAACTTTCTTTCAGTAGCTCAAGTTTTGCTAATGCACATAAAATTGACCATTCAAACAGGAAATTTGTTGCATTTAGGTTTACTTAATTTCTATCACTGTTTTTTACCCAACAAAGCCAATGTTGCAGAACCTTTACATCGCTTATTGGACAAAAATGTTAAATGGCGGTGGGAGGAAAAACATAAACTTGCTTTCAATGCTTCAAAGAAGCTCCTTTCTTCCGATAGTATACTGGCTCATTACAATCCCTCCAGCCATCTTATACTAACTTGTGATGCATCTCCTTATGGTATTGGTTGTGTGCTTAGTCAGGTTCGAGGGGAAAAGGAAGTTCCAATTGCGTTTTATTCCAGGACAATGAGTCAGTCAGAACGAAGATATGCTCAAGTAGATAGGGAAGCACTTTCCATCATTGGAGGGGTTAAAAAATTCCACAATTACTTATATGGGAGGCATTTTGAAATTAGAACAGATCATAAGCCACTTCTGGGTCTTTTCACTGTGGATAAACAAACACCAAACACACTGTCACCTCGAATGATTCGCTGGAGTATCCTTTTAAATGGATATGACTTTGATCTTGTATACAAACCGGGGATTTCTATTCCGAATGCTGATGGTTTGAGTCGTCTTCCATGTTCCTCCAATCAAGAGATGTTGATCAAGAGATAAATGAAGTCTTGAATGACGTGCTATACATTGAATCCGATGAGGTTAAACCAATCACCGCTAATATAATAGCAAAAGAAACAGAAAAGGATCCACTTCTATCTAAAGTACTATTATGGACTCAACGTGGTTGGCCAACTCATAACTCAGATATCAACCTTACGCCTTTCATTTCTCGTCAAAATTCAATTTCTCAATACAAACAATGTTTACTTTGGGGAACTAGGGTGATCATTCCATCCACTCTCAGGCAACAAGCTCTGAAGCTTCTACACATGGGACATGAGGGCATTGTTCGAACAAAGGCGTTGGCTCGAAGCTATTTCTGGTGGCCAAAACTTGATCAAGACATAGAAAACATAGTGAATTCTTGTCAAGCATGTCAACAAAGTCGTCACAACCCTCCAAGAGCAACAGTTCTTCCCTGGGAGAAAACGAAACAACCCTGGTCTCGTCTCCACATAGATTTCGCTGGGCCCTTCCAAAACAAGTTGTTTTTGATTGTTGTCGATTCTTTCAGCAAATGGTTAGAAGTAGTTTTGGTGCCTTCTACAGATTCAAGATCAACTATAAAGGTCCTCAGAAGCCTTTTCGCAACACATGGTGTTCCAGACACAATAGTATCTGATAACGGGTCGGCTTTCACTTCACAAGAATTTCGATCGTTTAATGAAAGCAATGGCATCCGCCACGTCGTGGTTGCACCATACCATCCGTCATCGAATGGTCAGGCAGAAAGGATGGTCCAAACGACAAAAAATTCTTTGCGACGAATACTTCAAGGAGATTGGCAAAAAAGATTGGCTCAGTTCCTAATATCATCTCATATAACGCCAAATTGTTCTACTAATATGTCACCGAGTGAACTGCTGTTCGGAAGGCGTATTAGAACCATCTTAGACAGAGTTCACCCAGATTATTCTTCAAGTGACAAAGAAGAGAAAATCTTGGATAAAGCGCTTCACGATTACCAACAGTCACCTCAGAGGAAATTTAAAGAAAATGACTCCGTATTTGCAAGAAACTATAATCAGCGAGGACCAAAGTGGATTCCTGCTAAAGTCACTAGAATAACCGGGCCACTGAGCTACCATTTGATAACAAAAGAAGGCATTGAAATACGACGTCATATTGACCAATTGAGACCTCGCTCAGAAACATCAAAAGCATCTACTAACTCACACTTGGATAATCCTGAATCTCCAGTAAACCCACCATTCCACCCACTACTCCAGAATCCTATTCAAATGAGAACACCAGAAGCACATCATATCACTCCAGTGCAACCACCATCAATGGTTCGCAATCCTATTATGATGAGAACACCAGACGTACAACCAATGCGACCATCAGTGATGCAACAATCTCGCAATTCCTTTAGTGGTATAGAAGGTTCAATTAACCCTCATCAAGAAGATGCTGGTTTCAACGTTTCTGGTTTAATTCAAGACTCCACTAGCATGAGCACGAGTCCACAACCTGTTCGGTCACGTGTCTCTAGATCAAACTCCCAAAACACTTCAATGAGCATGAGTCCTCGACCTGTTCGTATCCGTCGACCACCGGCATATCTGAAGGACTACCTAACGGGGGGAGGAGTGTTATGTATCAAGAAATAAGTCCATATGTTTTATTTATAACATCTGTCAGATGACTGTTTACATTATTATGTTTTGTTTACTTTTTAGTTTAGTCTGATTTGTGAGTTCAATAAATTCAGTTGTGTTAATTATGTTTTAATTTACTAAAGTATTTACACAGTAATATTACACTTTGTGATGCCTTGCAAAAATATGAATTTTATGTTTTTGACCATATAAGAGTCTTGATACCTGAAATACAATACATATTTCTTCAACTTAATATTAAAATTAAATAATTTTTAACTTACATGACAACGAGTGTGTGTTTTGTGATGCCTTGCAAAAATATGAATTTTATGTTTTTGACCATATAAGAGTCTTGATACCTGAAATACAATACATATTTCTTCAACTTACAGTAATATTAAAATTAAATAATTTTTAACTTACATGACAACGAGTGTGTGTTTGCTTTGGGGCCCAGACAAGAACTAGAACTGAACTATTTACTTTACCATGAATCTCATCTTTGACCAAGGATGATAACAGCTGATTTGCAGGATTGCCAACAGGTTAGAGTGATTTGCTTTTCTTAACCAAACAACAAATTATTTCACATACTGTATTTTATCCTAAGTGGTCATTTAATTTATTTTGTTTTAAAATAATGAAAATTAAAATATTACATATTAGTACACTTCCAAATTACATTATATTAAATGCTTCTTTAACCTTGCTTTGCAAACACCTATGCTTGTTTAGATAAACCGTTAGTACACAACGCAATATAGTTTTCTTTAGTTCAATGATTCTAGTTGACCACAGTGTAAAGATGTTCAGTTAGTTGTTGTTAAAAATATCAAATGTAATTTTTATGAATACACCTTTGAGAATTTAAATTGATATAATCTATCTATATATATAAAATCCAATGTATGTTTGTATGTTTGTATATTTGTATGTTTGTCCTTTATGGACTCCAAAACTGCTCGACAGATTGTAATGGAACTTTTAGGCATTATTAAGCATTATTCAAGGATGGTTTGTGTGAGGTTTGGTGCAGATCCGTCAATAGGGCTCCGCCCCAGTGGCTCTGGAGTTTCCCATGTTAACCTTATGAGTACTCATATTTAAATGGAATTAAAGAATCTTAACAGCTGGTGCAACTAAACAATTTGATTCTGTGATGTTCAATAGCATTAAAAAGTTAATAGGTTTACCAACAGGATGCAGCACTATATTTATTTTTAATTTATGAGAACAGCTAATTTTTAACCAAAAGGTGAGTGAGCGTAGCGAACGAACTTCAACCTGGAGGCGAGTTAGCGTAGCGAACGAGCTAACCTGAAGGCAAGTGAGCACAGCAAACGAGCTCCAACCTAAAGGTGAGTGAGCGTAGCGAACGAACTTCAACCTGGAGGCGAGTTAGCGTAGCGAACGAGCTAACCTGAAGGCAAGTGAGCACAGCAAACGAGCTCCAACCTAAAGGTGAGTGAGCGTAGCGAACGAACTTCAACCAGGACGTGATTGAGCCATGCGAACGAGCTCATCTTGAAAATGAACGAGCATGTGACATATAACCACAATAGGATAGGACGACGTCTGTCGGGCCAGCTAGTTTAAAATATGTGAAACTTTTTAGTTGTTAATTTGGTAGTTTACTTTTTGTTGACATTGATGTTAATTAAAACTCTCTTCCAAGGCTCTCCTTTGTGGATCAAGCTGGTCTAGTGAGAGTGCTGGGTTTCGTTCCGCGAAGTCGTGATTTCTAATACCTCCAATGAGCTTATCTAAGTGATAATGCCACAGCCACCATGCCTAGCCTGAAGTAATTCGAATATTAGTCCTAAGAACATTAACTAAAGAAAACTATATAGCGTTGTGGAATTATAATCATATTGATATAAACTAACGGTTTATCTAAACAAGCATACGTGTTTGCAAAGCACGGTTGAAAGAAGCATTAGTATAACATACTGTAATTTGGAAGTCAATTTAAAACATATTTCCAAAGTATTCACAGCTTTGTATAAAGTGGTGATCAGTTCTACATTTTCAAGTGATAGGCAAAATCGAAAAAAATCTTCACTCAACAAATTAAGCTTTTAAATACATTTTTAAACTTGATATTTTAAAACTGATTACGAGATAAGCATCAGTTATATTTATTTTTCTTGGTTATACAATAACTGTTATTACTATAACGTTATAACTACCATATATCAAAGACCATAAATTAAATGGTTTTATTCACGATTATAATAAATAGCCGAATATTGAAAAGAATAATATCAGTTTTACATTAACTTCATTTTAAGACCTACGCGAACCCTACCCACCCAAGATTTGATTACAGATAAGACCCGTTTGGTCGAGAAGATTCATATGAGATTCTATTATCGATTTCTCTGAAGATGCTCTCGTATAAGAGGTCTAGCTTCCCTTGATAACATTTTACGATTTAAGACCGTAACTTCTTTATGAGTTGTCATCCTAGCTTAGCCTCACTTATACGCTTGTAAACCCTTTCCAAGTATCCATACCGCATCTTAGAAATAAAACTGGTGTTTAAGTCGATTTTTATCCTAAACATATCCCAATCTTAAAATAAGTTAACTACTTTTTTATTAAACGAAATTCGCACAAGATCAATTAATAGATACATTTAAATTATAGAAGCCTAAGCTCAGTTCAACTTTTTTCCCAAATTAGTATTCTAAATTTTGCTGTTACTGATTACGATGTTAACCTGATAAGAGGTTTGTAATTTGTCGTTTTTCTTAGTAGTAAAAGTTTACATTTTTTCATTATATTATTTTTATTTTGTACCGTGACTTGACCAGTGATATTTAGGATGAAAATATTACGCTTTTCATGCAAAGCAGTCCAAACCCCTATATTTATGTGCAATGTCTATATGGCTAAAACATGTTATGCGAAATATTAATTTATTTAGTATTAGGTATGTAGCAAACCAACTTATATATTTCCTGATTCACATAAAGACCCTTTCTTTGTAGTCATAGGCTTATTAAACATTCCTTTTTAAATAATACAACCCTGAAAAATTATATAGATAATTTTTAAGGGGATTGAACAGTATTTCAGAGTAGATATTTAAATAATACGAGTAAATGTTATCTATAAACTACTTCGTTTTAAATGCAAGTTTTGAAACGAAAATAGAACTTAAATGCAACACGTTTGTTTGTTTTAGAGAGAATCTCGATTCATAAACACAGAACTACAAACATCCCAGGTAAAGGGTGATGAGGTAAATACCTCCCCAGTACTTTGGCCGTGTATTCGTTAAAGTCTAAGCATTTTACGTTTAAATAACCTGGAATCTCTTTCATAAAACCCTACTTTATTATCTCATTTTATCGCAAATTTAACTCTTAACTATGATGATCACCGTCCTATATTTTGCATATTTCGTGATTAAATTTGTTTTTTTATGAACATTTGTCAGTAACTTTCAGAATTCGAGTTACAAAAATGTAATGTTACTTTATATAAAACACATTAATGTCATCGTTTATTACAAATTTAAAAATTTACAAATTTTTATCATGTTCCATAAATAATTTGTATCCTATTCCAGTCAGCATTATTAGATTATAATAAGCGGTATCAGCAATCTGAAACATATTTTCTCCTATTAGCAAAAACAACCCTTCTCGTAAGTAAGCGGTACATGTATATGGGAGTAACTGATATATTTTGTGAAAAATCAAAAAAGTCGCCATAATTTTTGAAACGTAATTTTTACAAAAAAATGGCGTTTTTTCCCCCATAAATGGTGGTTGTGCGTTTATTCCAAATCGTTTAAGCAATTTGTTATATCTGGTTTTCCGTAATTTATGGGTCCTATAAGGAAATTACCATTAAAATTAAATTTTCAGTAAGATGAATAGGGTACTTGAAGATGCCATAGATTGGTACCCAAATACCAAATTTAACCTCAGATGTGGTTTATAGCTATGTATACATCTACATATACACTCACAAACGTCATTTAGAAAACCACTTTTTTAGGTTCAGGGGACCTAAAATGGATAAATCCACCCAAATCTCAAACCCGAAAGTTTTAAACAATACTATTTTTTATTTATATAGGGAGGGGGGGGGGAGAAAGTAAAAAAGTATTCACAGTGCATCAATACTCAACAAACAACGAAATGTTGCAAGCGTGATTTTATGGCAAGTGTTTAATTTATGTAACTCCATATGTTTCAGTGTGTGACAGCAACAATGAGAAGTGTGGTTCGATGATATAACTGTATCAACCAACATTTTACCCATATATTTACATACATCATGCATTCATGATTTGTTATCTTTTAGTTTTCAAACTCAGCTGAAATAATGTTAAAACATTACAAACTATCAAAAATAAATCCAGTTGGTAAATATTTAAGTAATTTTTAGTGTCATTGCGAAGATCTTGTGTTTCATAATTTTAATAACAAATTAACCTACTTGGACAATTGTTTAGTATAAAAATTATATAATTAACTCTTAACTCTTTTCTTAAATAATTTGAGAATTTAATCGTAAAGTTTGTGAGCTAAAAAACCAACATTTGTGGACTATTAAACAATACGAAGAATTATGAAAATATGGTTGGATCATTTATATTTATTTGCAAAAAGTTTTTTTTACTAACAAATAAAATATGACGTTTCCTAACTCATTCATCTACACAATTAGTAGCTCCTTCAATCTTTTATGAACCTTTCCTATAAGTATGTTACACAACATAATTGTATACTACTCGTGAATTGAAGCGTTATCAGCTATAATTCATGAGTGCTAGCTATGATACTGAACTGAACACAAGTATAGGTCAGCGAACGATTTTCTCATTTGGATAGGTTCCAAATGCTTTCTTACAAACAAATACTTTGTTGACAATTCTAAAAGTAAATTGCTCTGTTCTCTAGCAGTTGTATCAATTCCACTTTCATCAAGTCCCATTCTATTTGATTGAACTGGTGCTAATGTGGAACATATTGTCATCCCTCTAAATTATGCTGCTTGT